AAAAAAAAAAAAAAAAACTCGAATTGAATCAAAATTCTGAATTGGAATAATTATTGCCTACAAATGGTTTCTGAAAAAATGGAACCGTTAGGTTTAGTTGTTGATAAGCTGAAAGGTTTTGCAAAATCCACACAAGACCTTACCAATTCCTTCCTTCACAGCTTTGGATTCTCCAGCCGTCGCCACCCGGTACTGTCTCCATTGAAGCCCTAACTTAATCGCTGTTTCCCTTATCTCTTACATGCTTGATTTTGATTCATCTTCGAGATTCGTGTTTCCTGTGTTTCTCATTGTGTTATTTCGTTATATCTTTATAGTAATTACCATATCTGAAAGGTGCAATTCTTTTGACAAAGGGAGTATTATGTAGAAAGTATTGCTTTAATGTTTGGATGTTAAGTTGTACAGAAGTGGTGTTTCTTGGAAGCTTTACACCTCTTCAGTAATATGGTTTTCAGATTGAAATCTTGAAGCGGTTGCAACGCGAAGCATTTTCAGATATTATGAAACTCAGGGACCGACAGGATAAGGTGGAACGAATACTTTCGTTTAAGGCATCTAAGGGAAGTCCATTTGATGAAAATGGCACCCGAATAAGAGGGCAGATAGAACTATTGGGGCTGCTGTTAATGATTGATAGAATTCACGAAGAGAATCAAGATGCCATTCGTCGAACTGGGATAAAAACTGGTATAAGTTCTCGGTTCACTTTTGAAACCACCGTTCGTCAAAAGGATAGTCTAATAGCAGAGTTTGTGGCAAGTGATAAGGGGCAACTTGATGCTTTAGATAGTCCGCTTTCACTAGCAAAGGTTCTTTATGCCGCAAATATCAATGACTGGTGCTCCTTGATTGCTGTTCCTGTGGGAGGTAGATGCAGTGATGTTGGACCCTCAAGAACCTCTCATCAGGTATTTATCAATGTCTTCTTTCATCCTGAAGTTGATAAGTTGCTAAAAATTGCCCTATGATAATGTGTTCGGATTGGAATTAGTTTGTGACCTTTGGCTCTAACACCTTTTTGAGAAAAAAACAAACCAAACAAGCCTGGTATATCCCACCTAGAAGTAGGTCTGAGAGGGTGAGATGTACATACTACATAGACCTGACCGCTACCGCTAAGAGTAGAACGGCTGTTTCCATGAAGACCCTTGGCTTGAGGAAAGTGTGATGGAAAAAATGGTAAAGCTTGCTAAAAATGAACATAAGAAGAACAAGAAAGGAAACTTGAAATCAATAAAGGCAGTATTAAAATTTGAAAAATGCGTTAGAAGTAAGCAACAAAGAAAGGGTACACGGAAAACATAAACCAAGGTAGGAAGAGTTGCAAACATCTAGTCTAACTAGGGACCGTTTGGGCGTTTACCAAATGCTTACCGGGTAGGTACTTACCTGCAAGAGAAATTACCCTTGCTTATCTTATCATGTAACATTCTCGGCCATCAAAATGAATTGATGGTAAGAGTTTTAAACCTGGTAAGCGCTTACCGGGTCAGAGTCTATTTCCTCACTTACTGGGTAAGACTCGTTCCTTGTTATGCATCTTACCAGGTAAGAGTCTTGGTCCTTGTCATGCTCAATCGGTAGGTAAATGACATCGGTAAGTGCTTACCCGATAAGCATTTAGTAAATGGCCACTTATATTCAGGAGGTCTAATAACGGCTCACTAACGCTACTCCCATCCTCTATCTCTCCATATCCTCTTGGCTAGTTACAGATCCCCACCCCTAGTCTGCTACCCTAATCTTGTGTCTCCAAGAACTCCTAACCTTTTTGAGGAGTGCACCGCTGTTATTTGCTTCCACGTTTGATAATTTTGTTGTGTAAAAAACAAATCATAGTTCAAACTGTCATCTTGATTGGAGTCGAATTCCGCAAAGTGTGATTAGTGGTTTATGCAACCATATGTATCATAGGCTACCATGCTGTATATGTTCTATAAGGCATTATTTAAGCATCAGTCATAGCACTTCTCTTTCCTTCCTTTTAATGCATTCGGTAATCTAAATTCTATTTGGGAACTCACTTGATTTGCAGGAACATACCAATCTTTCATTTAGTCAACCTCCACTGTTAAATCAACACATTGGTAGTGGTATCAGCTTAACTGTGAGAAAACCTAATGTTATTGCTTCCATAGCTCATTTCGTATCCGTTCTGGAAAACCGACTTCATTCTGCAGGAACCACTCATTGCTTAAGCACTTTTGGGCAACTTGTATATCAACTTTCCAAGAGTTCAAAGCTCTCACTTTTGGGTCTACACCAAATACCCAAAATTTCAAGTCAACATATTTCTCTTGGTCCATTATTTCTACCAATCGGAATGTTTGGACGTCATGCAGCTCCTATGGAGCCGTTTGCCGCTGCATCCGGATCTACGGCTCTCGTTCTTGAGTCGGAGCTTGATTCAAGCACCAGAATCGGAGGTTGGATTGAGATGAATAACTCGGATTCTAGAAATCTTCAATGGGCAGTGTCAATGTCCGATCTTCCTGAAGATGATTTTGGATGGGGGTTGAGGGTATGTGGATCGGTTAGCAATTGGTACCATTATGAGGTTGAAGCAATTTCTAAGATGAAGTTTGGTGAAAAATTGTCATTAGAGCCATCACTTGTGTTTGTGATAGATGGTTCAGCTCAATTTCCTGCATTAATGTTGAAGTCTAGTTGGTCTTTTTGATTGCGTTTCAGCTATCTATTTGTTAAGAATGACGTTCAAAAGAAAATTTAAAGCTCAAAGATTGGTACCAAATTGGTCAAATCCTATCCTAATTCATATTATTTCTGTATTCTGATGGGTTCTTGTTCCATCTCTTAACTTTTCATCCATTTTAGAAAAAAAATTACTAAATCCTTACAATTTCAATTTCTCTACTTGAACATGAAACAGTTTGAATGGGTCGAAAAGTTATAGAAACGTATTGAACTACTTGCAAATACTTTATATATATATATAAGAGTAAAACGTGGAACGTGAAAAGATAATTATGGTTAATTAAAATAAAATAAAAATTATAAAAATTACTTAATTACAT